CTCTGAATTTGGGCAGCTGATGCTCTTCGAGTGGGTGGGTTTTCGCCTTCCTTCACCTTCCAGGCATCGCTGGGGCTCCGGCATCAGTCCTCTGCAGGGTCCCCGTCTCCCCCGGCACCGGTGCAATAAATCACCGAGCTCCAGAGCTTTGGCTTTGCCATGCAGGAACTGCTCTGGAGGAGAAGTGCAGGAGCACCCCATGGTTACACTCCACTATTTTTAAGGACCAGATATCCTCCCAGCACAGCTGAGCCCAAATTACCGGGCGTAGAGGTGGGAGCTGGTGGGCTGCAGCCCCATTGCCATCTCAAAGTGGTTTTACAGCACGTGGAGGGAGCAGAGCAAAAATAAAAACCCTAATTTGGCTTTTTTGCGCTGTCTGGAAGAGGCAGGTGGGGATGTGTTTGCAGGGGGATTTGCTCAGGTAAATGCTTGTGCCAATGCAATTGCTGCATGTGGGTGCAGGTGGGTGGCTGGGGCCACTCCAAGCTCGGCCATTTTTGACTTTAAAAAGCCACCAACTATCAGGAGATGGTCTAAGCACCACCAAAACGCCTGGCTGGACTGGGATGGGGGTGCTCTGACTTCCCATTGCCGTGCAAAGGGTCTGAAACGCAATGCCATGGGAAAAGGGATGGAAAACCATCCAGAGATGCTGAGGTTACAAGCCGGGAACTCCTGTATCTCAATAATTCACGGGCGTGAGGGAAAATGCAATCTTAGCTCTGTCTTTGTCACCCATCGGTTCTGCCGCTGGCTTTATTTAATCGCCCTGTTGATCCATGCCGGGGGCAGGAGGGAGATTTAATCTCACCCGGCAGCTCCCAACGCTGGTTGATGAACAGGCAGAGCTTTTCCGCACACGTGGAGGCTCCGTCCCCGGCACAGATCCATGCCCGATTTCCTTTGGGCAGATGCCACCGTGCTGCAAAACGTTTGCTCATCCCCCTCCCTTTGCTTTCGTACCTGTTGCTCATCTCAGTTTTGGAAATGTCAAAAGCAAAGCTGGGGGAATTGGGGCACCCGCTGCGAGACCTCGCCTGACCTTCCTCACATCCCTCCTCCTCCCTCTCCCATTGTTGCCTCTATATCTGCGAAAGCCCCGAATTTGAGGGGACCGTGTGCTGCGTTGGCAGCCGCAAGGAATTAATCCCCGCTTTAGCGTGCTAAAATAAACCCTGTCCAGGCCCCAGGCGGGGAGAGAGGCGGGAAACAAGCCGGCCCCGAATGAGCGTGGCTGCTGGCGGCAATTTGCGTCGCCGTCAGTAAGGAGAGAGGCGTCGGGCTGGGGTTGCAAAGGTGCAATATTAAAACCCATCTTGCTGTGCACCATTTCAGGGCTGGAAACAGCTCTTAATTTAGCCCCCATCCCTGCTCGGCGCTGCTGTCTCCCGTGCACCCGCTGTGCAGTGCTGCAAAGCACTCTCCAGGAGTCACCACCACCAAAAAAACCCTGCTTTTCTTCCAAATTTCCTTGCATCCAGCTGATTGCAGCAGCAAACCCGCTTTTGCAGCCCCCCCCCAAAAAAAAAAAGCAGTGCAAAGAGGGTTTCTTGAATTTTACAGCCCCGTGCTCAATATGCCAGGCCACGCTGCCTTGCTGTTGCAGCAGGCACGTGTGCATGCAGCGTGCTTTCCCGCAGGTCACGGTTGAGATTTATTGCAAAACCACCGGCAACTTGTTTTACAAGTGATGCGAGCCTCGAATCGCCGGCTGTGGGACATACAAAATCACCTTCCCCTCTTTCAGGGGATCTTCTGCAAAGGTGTCTCAGTTCCTGCAGCACCGTTTCCAAACCTGCTCCCGTTTTTCAGGTGCTCCGGGGTTTTTCAGCGTTGCTTTTCCACCTGATGCAAGGCATAGTTTAAAAAAAAAAAAAAAAAAGGATTTTTTTGCAGTGGGTTAAGGGCTGTTTTGGGGTGCCCTGGTTGCAGACAGTGTCAAATGGATGCGGTCAGGGCAAGGATGCTAAAGAGAGGCTCAGATCTGCGGGGCTGTCAATCTGGCATCTTCCAGCAGCCGGAGGAAATAGAGGAAAATAAAATAAAAATGCAATCGCCTGCCCTCCTGACCCTGGCTGCTCCATGCTCCCGCAATAGTTTTGGAGCAAATCGAGGAGAAACAGGGAGAAAACAGCCAGACGGAGCCGCCCGTGCTCTGATTTCCCCTCTGCTACGAGGACAAATCCTGCATCCAGCTATGGGGGAGATGGGGAAGAAGCAGGCTGTCGGCCAAGGCTGAGCTGCAAAACCGCAGGTTGGGCTTTGCACATCCTCTGATTAGTCTGTTGGACCCGTTCCCATGAGAAATGAGTAATTTAGATGGTTTTAAAGCAGGCCTGAATGGAGGAACTCGGTCTGCAGTGGGGAGAGAACCACTGTGGGGCAGACGATGGTGGAGACAAAGTCAAAGCCAATATCTCTGTAGAAAGGATGGGTTTGAGTGGAAAGGTGGGAAAGGTGGGAAAGGTGGTCGGTGGGATCAGGGCTTTGTGTGTGGATCAAGGCGAGCCTCAAAATCCGGGCGTCCAGGGTTTATTTGGGCAAACGTGGGCAGTTTTGCAAAGCTGGGGAGAGAAGCAGCGAAACAGTCAGTCCTTGCATTTTGGTGCCATAAGCTGGTAAACAAGGTCAGGAAGGATTTTCCCCAGCTGGTGCTTTTTTTGGTGCGTTGGGAGCAGCCAAAATTCGTCGCTGCAAGGGGGCAAGATGCCACGCTGATGGGCTTGCCCATGGGTTATCCCTACATGGGATGGAGCTGGTGTTTGCTCCCCGTAGCAGAGCTATTAATACCATAAAACCGTTTGAGAACAGTATTTTAACTGCCTGCCTCATCCTTCCCTGGCAGCTCATGTCTCTTTTTCTCCTTTTTTTGACTTTTCCAGCCTACCTGACGGTCAGCATTGAGCCGCTGCCGCCCGTGGTGGTGGGAGACGCTGTCACCCTGAAATGCAACTTCAAGACGGATGGGAAGATGCGGGAGATCGTCTGGTACCGGGTAAGTGGTGCCAGTGCCTCTTCCCTGCCCTTGGGGACGGGGACACGAAGCCACCCGGCTGCTTTGCTCCTGTACAACAGAAGGTCAAGGCTGGATGGTGGAGAGAAAGGCAGACGGCGCTCTCGCTGATGGGAATATCGATTCAGTGAAGCAGGCAGGCAGGCTAGCCTTTGAAAATCTAGGGGTGGGGGGAGAAATGTTTTGCAGTCACCCTGAGGGCTCCATGAGGCTTTCTCCAGGTGTTTTGTTATGTTTTCTGTGTGGATTTGGGGTTGGCAGGCTCGGTTCGGTGCTGGGGGCTTTGCGCCGAGGGTTGGTGCCGATCGGGGTTTGGGAGCCGGGGGCTTGGGTTGGCACCGCTGTGCAAAGAGGATTTTCATGTTGGGTGTGAAATTATGCAAAAAAGAGGGTGGTTTTCATGCTGTGGGGGAAATTATGCAAAATTGAGGGTGTTTGGGGCTTGGGGAGCAGTGCTGGGCTCTTCATGGGGAGAGATCAGCACTGAGCCTCCCCCAAAAACCTTTCCCCTTCCCATCCCTGTCCCCAGAATACCCAGGGGGATGTGGGATGCTGATATGGAGCAACGCAAGATTTATAGCGTCTGGTTTTATTTGGGGAGGGGGGTTTGGAGGCTGTAGCTTTCCCCCCCAACCAGCGTCACTCCCATCTGCACTGAGCCTGGATCCAGCCTCAGATATAACGGACCAGCGCAGTATTTTTGGCTTTCTCCTGGGAATTTCAGGATAAGCTGCCAAACACAAACAAAACTCCCACGGTGGTTTGATCAAAGAAAACTTGAAGTTTTCCAGGATGGCAAAAACTCAGCTCTTTGCTTGCACGTTTGCTCGCAGAGGAGGCGAAGAAAAAGCTAACTGGGCTGGTGGCGTCGGATGAAACGGCTGGCCTTTGCCGGAGGATATTTTTTCTTGGTTTTACCATCTTGTTTCTGCTCTCTGAACAAGGAGCATCTCTGCCTTAAAGCTCTTCTTCACATCCAGGCAGGTTTATAAATAGGAAAAGGTGCTGTCTGTACTGATATATATTCAGTTGCCGGAGCGTGGTGCATGCACAGGAGTATTTCCACTGAGTTCCGGCTGTTTGCTATAAATATGTGTATTTAGGTGTGTAGGGGATGCAAAGCAGAGAAATATCAAAATACAAACCAAAAAACTGTCCCAAACCCTAAATTGCAGCTTGCAATTGGCTTCGTCTCCCCCTTATTTTGGGGAGGAGGCTTTTTGCATGGTGCTCCTTCTGCCGGTGCTGCCGTCTCCACCGGGTTTTTCCTTCCCTTTTTCCACTCAGTAATATTGGATTAACCCACTTTCTCGCGAGCTGGGGCTGGATTTGCATAAACCCCCCCTGTGCGGAGGGATGCTGGAGCCCTCGGCGAGAGGATGACGCACTGGGGCAGCCGAGCAAATTACACTCCGAGAAACCACGGAGAGAGCGGGAGGGGAAAAAATAACCCAGCTTTTATTTTTATCACCACAAATCCCCTTTTCTTCCAGGTTTTTTACACACACCCCGTTCCCTTTTTCTCCTTTCCCAGTGAGCTTCCCGCATTTGGAAAGTTGGGTTTTTCATAGAGCGTCTCGGGATTTCCCAAATTCCCTCCTGATTTTATATTTTTTCCCCTTTTTTCCCCCCCATCTTGTCTCACTTACGGACTTTTGCAACTGCCCAAACCCCCAGTTGCAGCTCCCCTGTGCAGGAGGTGACGAATGGTCTCGAGCGAGCCGGGGTGGAGATGCTGGGGCCGCGGGGTTATATTTATACCATTTGTAAATCATCGTGACAGCATCTTTGTGCGTGGCGTCGGAGCAGTGGAGCGGGGTGGTTGTTCGGACTCGCTGAGGCTCCCGTTTCCCTTGGTTTATTTTATAGGGAGCAGAGCGAGCTCGTTGAGTTTAAGGATGCAGAGCTGCACCGGGGCGCACGTCGAGTTGCGGTGGGGGCGGGGGGAAGCAAAAGAAGGGGAGTGTGGCAGCAAATTCAGCAGCAGCTTGCTGTAGGACATGGGGGGTGCATAAC